TGCCAGAGAAGAAAAATAACGCGCACTGTCGGTGATTCTCTTTACCCTTAATAAAAATTAGTACCTAAAAATATCTCTGAAATTTTGTCTCACATATCCCCCCCACATATGTAAAACACAAACTTTTAATGGAACAGTCTTTCACTCCAGGAAAGTGGAGCATTTTCCCAGCATAGAGAGGCTGTTACACTCAATATAGTCAGACTATTATATTTAATATCCTGAAGACCCATATCACACGCAAGCCAATATGCATGTTTCCCTATCTATTCATTTTTAAGGTCAGAAATGCTCCGGGGGAAGCCAGTCCTAAAGCGTTTTGCCAACTACCCTACGAAATCTCCAAACCCGCAGGCTGGGCAGCAGCTCCCCCAGCACAGGGGCAGCTCTCCACAGGCAGGGAAGCCCAGGCCCAAATTCCCTGTTCCCATGCGGGTGCGCTCGCACCGTCCAGCTGCCTCTTGCCGAGTCTCCTTGCAGATCACCCTCATCGAGGCTATCGATTTTTGTCCATTCCTTCCTATTTTGCTCAGGGTTCCCCTCCTAACGATGGCCATCAAAGCTGGGCTCCTGTAATTGAAGGCTCAGGCAAAGATCAAACCCAGGCAAGGCAAGAAAAGAGACGGCAGCAAAACGAGCAATGCCTCTCTAACATGAAGCTCTCCAGCCAATTAATCCCAGGACTCCTTCTGGCTTGGAAAAAGCAAATCCCCTGCAGAAAAATGACCTCGTGGGGTTTCAAAAGCTCCTTTGGGGAAGAAAAGGAAAATTGCCATGGAGAGTCGAGGATGACATCTGAGACTAAACTCTGCGCTGTCCGTTCTATCATCCCTGTTTCATCTGCAGTCAAAGAGACCTTTCATTTTCCTGCCTCGGTTTTGAAGGTGACAACCAGGCAGAGGAAGGAAAGAATCCTATAGTACTAAAATAAGACAAACCCAGAATTTACTTGGCTCAGGAGGTGACTGCTAATGTCACCTGCGGTTGCACCGGCACCATGCACATGGTTTCATAAAGTTCTGGTGAGCCTGGTATCTGCACTGCCACACATGTCACACAGGGCTCACGCAAGCGGAGAGCCAAGCGAATGGTGGGGGGAAGCCACATCAAGACAAGCTCTTATGGAAGCCATCCCATCACTCTGATTCTTCTTGATACACTATGAAAACTGCTGCCGAGCTGTTGAGAATAAGCAGCTAGGACAAGTAGCCAGGATTGCGGCCTCGTTTCAAGGCAGATGTGCTCTACTGTCTTCTCAAAACTCAGAAGATGGTCCTGTCTGCTCAGTGTGCCATGAGTAGTGGGTTCAACACACTGCTGCTCCATGGCATGGAAGCAAGTTGGTATTGCCTCTCCTTCTCACTTAACCCCACTGCACAGATGTCCCCAGGTAAAGCTGCTTGGAGACACGTACCTAGAATGCACCAGCCTGGACTTAGCCCTGTGCCTCCTCCCAGCTAATTGCAATTTCCACCAGGTAAACCTTCACGGACACACACACACACACACACACACACACACACACACCAATGCTATTTTGGGAAGCTCTGCTAGAAACACTTGTGAAACCCAATGCCAAGATGTTGGCATGCTTACCCCATCCCACAGGCGCTCAGCCATCCCCAAAATCAGGTGTAGCAAAAGCCACATCCACTTCTCTTAGGCCAGGTGAATCAGATGCGACAAGGTGACCCAACCTCATGCAGTTGATGAACCTGCACTTTTGCTCTTGGTCCTTATCCCAGGTCAATGTCACCAGCCTAGATGAAACTCACACTAGAAATAAACCATGAACAATGCCCCCACATCAGCCAAAGCACTTGGCCTATGGTCACTTCTAATCAGTAACTGAAACTGTTGCCAATTCATTTACTTCAAGCTTCATAGAGCCATCTACTAGCATACAAATGGAGCATCATTACTGGCAGTCTTCATTAGGTACATCAGAAAAGAGGAAAAATTTGGTGCTTCAAAACAGAACGAGGCAAAAGGGATAGCTAGAGACTGTGTCTTGCAGCATCTTGCTAATCTCAATGTATTTGAGGGTTTCTTTTTTTTTTTTTTTTTTTGGACATTGGATCCTACTGGGGGTTGGAATGCTCCAACTAGCATTCTCATTCCATGCTAGGAATGAGAATAGTGATTTATCCAAATGAATAAGAATAATCTTGCTTGAATTTAAGGTACCAACGTCTCTTAAGCAAAAGAAAAAAAAACAAACATGTATATAAACCCACAGACACACACACATATATATGCATATATGAAGTCAATAATCCAATGTGAGCAACAGAAACAAACAGAATCACAGAATGGCTGAGGTTGGACCTCTAGAGACCACCTACTAGTCCAACCCTCTGCTCAAGCAGGGGCACCTAGAGCACATGGCACAGGGGAGGACAAAAAAAAAAAAAAAAAAAAAAAAAAAAAAAAAAAAAAAAAAAAGATCAGCTGAAATAAACCCCAGTTCAGTGCCTCAAATGCACTAGCTCTTTTGAAGGTTTGTACACTATAAATGCATGTCTTCAGTAGTGTTTATTCAGTGCCCTCCTACATAAATAAGGTGTCCCGGGCCTCTCTTTCTTACTGGCCAGGTCCTAAATTACAAGGATAAAGCTGTAAACTCCAGGGGAGAATGCTTTGGGTCTGTAAATAAACCTCGTGGGTTTGGTGTGACAGTAACAGCAGAGCACTCAAAGCAGGCCAGCAACCAAACGGGGAGGCCACCAGGATGCCTGTCACAGATGTTGTTTACTACAAAGTGTTGCAGCAAATACCAGCTCAAGTGGGGAGCAGTTTCCTAACAAACTCTCCTGAAATAAGTATCTAAATGAAACTTAAGCAGTGTGTCGTTGTCAACGTATGAAACAGGACAGGTTGAGCTCTTCCAACCCTACTGTCCGATCTGCATCTTCTACAAAAGCTACAGCCTCATCTCTTCTCTTGTTGGGCTGGCCAGACACCAAGCTGCACATGGCAGGATAGAAAACAGAAGCCCTCCATGGGCTCCAAAGGCCTGAACCACATCAAATTGTTACTAAAAATTTGGGAGAAAACTGGTTAACACTGTCTTTTTCTCCATTTTGCATTTACTAATTACCACTTCATTTCGCCCTTATGTCAGTACATCCAAAAGCAGCTGGCAGTCCAAGCACACTTAGCCCAAGTGACCTTGGCTTCTCGTTCACCTCCACCACATAATCAGCAGGGAATTCCAGTTTCAAAATACAAGACTTCATAATCCATTAGCGCTAGAGATTGGTCCAGGCCTCTGGATTTACTGGTCACATGTCCCAAGGAATAAAAATATGAGTGTGCTGCTAGATTAATCTGCAGACCTGTAAAGCATTCTGACCTACCACATGTACAGTAGCCTCTTGCAAATTCACACAGAATCACAGAATGCTTAAGGTTGGAAGGGACTTCTAGAGATCATCTACGTGAATATGAGCATCATTCTCAGAAAATTACTGCTAGGAGGAGGCCCACTATACCTGGAGAGAAAATTGTTACGTGCTTTACAACTCAGCAACTCAATGGACACACAACAACTAATCCCCCTTTGCAGCTTTTTCTGAGGGTTTCATGAATGCAACATGAGCGCTGATGCTCTTATTGATACAAGGACAACACGCATCTCCACCTCCTATTTTTAAAGGGTAAGAATCCGTTTTGCTGGTCTTGGTTTTAAATCAAAAGCCTTCGCTAAGTCCAAGGAGTTTAGCTCACCAGCAAGTTCATACATCAGAGAAGAGTATCACTGGAAAACACATCTAAATGCAACTTCGGTAACACACGAAATCCTTCCACACAACACACACTTGCTTCTCCTTGCTGTTTCAGAAGCTGCAGCAAAACTCATGGGCAAAAGGATGTTAGCATCAACACACTGCACCTACTAAGCTTAACACTATGTTTATGCTCTTCAAAGCCCTTTTTCAGTTTGTCCTTAAATCCTACAGCCAGGCAACTTAGATCACTAAAGACTAATCATATTGCAGGCAGATAAAATGGGAAGTGTTCAACAGAAATAATAATCAATGTATGTTCTTAATATCCATGCAGAACATTTGAAAGGTACAGCAGTCCATGGATAAATGAGAATAAACTTGACAGTGATATTTAGCACTTGGCATTTAAAGAATTGTAATTGATCAATACGGCCATAGTGCAGTCCTACACAGTCTTCCCATACGCAAAACTTAGATGGAAAATATCTATTATTTCAGCTATTATTAGATGGTTGCTGGCAAATGCTGACTTTAAATGGCAACATCATTATTCAGTATTTGTACAACTGCAGCAGCATAAACAGCTTTTGATTCACACAGAGATAGAAAACCTAAAATGTTTTACTGCTTAGTCCTATCTGCTACAACCATGATGCTTGCTAGTTCTCTTCTCAACCTGATTTGAAAACATGTCATTATCCCCAAAGCTCATTAAAGGTCTAAAAAGATGAAAACCTTTTGTATAAAACAGACTGACTTGGCAAGTAGAGAATGCAAAGCAGAGGTGCAATGATGAAGGCTCATTCTCCGCTCTATCTTCCCAAAGATGCAAGGACCATTTGATTTTGAGTAAAGATTCTGAACTTCTGATTAATACCACCCTATAACATTTCTGTTTTCCTCCTAGCTGGTCTTTGAGTGCAAACGGGCATTCCCCTTGTTAAAAGCTTCACTACACCCTCTTGCAGCTGATCTCCTGCTCGCATTGCAGATGACCTTCCGAGAGCACCATTGTCCCGCTTCTACGACACCCAGCCACAAAACGCTGCTCACTTTCAGCAAAATAAAAACTCCCATGGGGGAAACAAATAAAAGCAGGGTGTTATTCAACAAAAAATAGAGAATACAAGCTAGAAAGTTTCTCTGTGGTCTAGTCTAGGTCATTTCTCATGTGAGCGTCTCCTTTGCTGCCACCCGAGTCCCCTGTGCCCCAGGAGTCTGGAGACACACGCGTGTGCTGGGATCAACCCGGCCTTTCGGCTTACTCACAAGGCACCGCATGGCGATAGAGGTTATCCCGGATGGTCTGCTGCAGATCGTGATCCGGCGAGCCTTTCTGGAAGCGCTGGTTGAGATAGTGCCTCAGGTCTTTGTTCAGCCGGCTTCCTGCAAGGAAAACACAGCCATTTATTTATTCCTAAACGCACGCAATTACCATTTCCAATTCAGGCGAACATTAGATTTCCATTCGGCGTCCCCCTAAATTACGGCATGCTGGCTTTACGAGCAGAGACTCATCTTCCCCTACAAATGGCTAATTACCAAAAATAACTCGCTGTAAACAAGAGGCCTCGCTTGTCTCATAACCCATCTTTCTTCCTGCGGTGTTAAAAAGATCATCGTTGCCTTTTATCACTTATTTGCCTGAACAAGCAGAGAAAGAAAGATGAGGCAAAAAAGAAGAAAATCAGTAAATGTGGACTAGTGCTTTTGTGAGCTGTGCAGCCAGAAGGCAAAGGCTGCTGCCACAACAAGAAGTTAAAAAAAGAATGGATGGAAGAGTCAAGAGTGCCCAAAGTCCTTAAAGAAATAACCAACTAATACTCAATACTTAAATTTATTCGTTTCCCTGTTCAGTTTTGAGCATCTCCAGAAAGCTCCACAAATGGAGATAAGAAACTTGATCGTTAGCGGATGTTGTTAGTTGCTGAAAGGCCACATCTTTCTTGTGGCAGAACACACAAATTGGAGCAACCTAATGAAGTTTGTTCCCAGAGATGAAGTTTTTTTGAAACCTGAGATAATGCTGACATTGATTTGATTGAGAAGCAAAAACAATTCCACGAGAATATATAGAGTATTGAGATAGAAAACCTTCCGTTCTTCAAATAAATAAATAAATATTGGAAGAGGCTCAGAGAACTGCAACAAGGATGATCAAAGCATGGAGCAGCTGGCACACAAGGGACAAGGGAGCAGACAGGGACTTGGAGACACTGGTCCCCAGCATCCCAGGAGGGCAGCTGGGACTGTCTGCTCCCCAGCTCTTCCAATGCGAGAAGGAAGAGTCACAGTTATCAGCAGGGCCTCTTTCAGGTTCAGATCAAGCTTAAGGGGCTTCATAAAGGCTGCTGCAAACCTCCTTGCTAGAGAGGACCTTAGATCCAAGAAGCATATGGGGGACCTTGAAGGGGACCCTGAAAGCACTTGGGGCACAGAGCCCCATGAGGACTTACTAAAGAGGGCTTCTGAAGTCCTTGGAGCTGAAAATGAATTGCTTGTAGCAGGAGAAAGCTGCAGCAGGGGAATATCAAATATCTCGCCCTGGGCTGCTTCCTCCCTAGGCATCGATTTAGGGTCGAAGCAGGAGCCAGAAGGCTGGGCCACACGGACCGTGCTCTGAACCTGCACAGCTATTCCCATGTCCTCTTATTATTTGCATTATGATTTTTTTTTAATTTTTGCTTGCAGATACGCAAGGCAGAGGCCACCGCAATCCGTGTCACGAGCAAACCCAGCACCGCACTTACAGATTCCCGGCTGGAGCCCCTCGGAA